GTATTACCGATTCGGGTATGAATCGAGTCCCAGAACCGATATTATGATGGAACCGGAACCGAACCGGGTGTCGGATCTGGATCGGATCCGGATCTTCAGCTCGGTTCTGCGGAACACTAGGATCAAGAATTCCGAAAAAGTCAAAAATTTGGGTAAAGGTCTGAGACTTTCCGAAGGAAAGTGTGAAGTAAATCTTAACCGGTTGAATCGGTTGACATAAAATATTTCGGTTCGGTTAGCCGATTAAGACAATTTTTCTTGGTTCAAATCATTAGTTCAAGATTGTTCAAGTATTGTAAAAAAATTTTTTTAAGTGTTTCACACCGTGTGTAAAATCAATTGTGTAACATCAACGTTCCCTCCTGTTATCTATTGGATATCTAGATCTGAATTTATTTGGATAGATACAGATCAATAAATAACAGATTTATCTGGATTGAAACCCTATTAAAAAAAAATAGAAAAAAAAAAAGATATAGAAGTACACAAAAAACACATTAAAAACATATAAATCAATCTTAACCAAAATACTAATTTTATTGACATCAAACTATTTGACCCCAATAACCTTAATAATAATTAACATGACATCACATTCTAACCTCGAAATTTACCAACTTATACTTTATTACTTCGTGTTGCTAGGTTTATTACTAAATTATTTTACTACTTCGTGTTGCTAGGCTTGTTACTAAATTATTTTACCAAACTATTACTGGCGGTACCTGTCTTGGGATTATAAATAAAACATAATATAAATAAATTAGCAAAAATAACTCTTTCAGAAACAATTACTAGACTTAATAGATTTGTATATTATCAGTCAGAGGACATGTCACACAGATCGATTTTACATATACCATTACACAAAAATTTTTATAATTACTTTTGAAACATTATAAGAAAACTCTTAAAAATTTTTAAATAACTGATTTTTTAATCTTAATAAAACTTGTTCTATAGGCTTTATTATATTTATAAGTAGCTTTTTTTATTTATTTTTTTATTTTACTTTTTTATATATTACGAACTCAAAAGTATATAATTTTTAGCTTTATTACCCACATTATTTCCAGAAAGACAAGTTATTCAAATTTTTTTAACAGATCAGGTTAGTATAGGTAGCAGGCAATATGGTAACTTAGAAACAAAAAGTAGAATTTATTATTAAATTTTTTTAGTACAATAGATCAAAGGTTCTTATAATATTTTCTATATATAAGAAGTTCAGTCAACATTGAAATTAACAAGATCTGAGTAAGTTTAGATCTAATCTTTCTTAGCTAATAAATATTGTTTAGCTGAAACATTAACTAATTCTTTAACCCATCTTCCTTTTGTAACTGGTTCTTTAGTTTTATAAATATCTTTATGCAAGATATTGTACAATCAAGTAAAGCCATTTTTATAAAAATTAAACATTCGAATATAACCATCGTGTTTCATTTTTTGTGCATGTTTAAAAAGATCATGCTGAGCAGGATCAAGATCATAAAATGCAAAAGTAAGTTCATCAACAAGCTGCTATAAAGTTTCAGTATATTGTTTAACTGCATGATTTCCAATATTAACTATATTATCTTCTACAAATTTGTCATACAACAATAGTAATCTTTCATATTCATCTTGAATCAACATTATTCTCTGTTTTAAAATTTCTGAATCTGATAAATTGGATGTTAAATTTTGCTTAACAAATTTAACACCATATTGCTCCAAAGCTTCGTCAAAGGCTAAGTAATGGTATTCTCTGGTAATATTTACTAAAGCAACATATTTGAATAGTTCATATTGTTGTCAATTACATGATACTAATTCTAAAAAGGTTACAACTGATGATGTATAAATATTTTTACCAGTAGTAGGAAATAGTAGCGTAAATGCAGTCAAACTTTTTAATTGCATATCTGCATTACCCAAATGAATACCTATATGATGAGCTTTCTAGTACCCAGTTAAATAGTAATATAAAAACCACATTTTTAAAATGTTATTATTTTCTGTAAATATAGCTTTTACATCTAACGGCATATTGTTGTTATTTAGATAAAGGTGAATTGCTATTCCTACAGCAGTATAGATGAGTTCTAATACTTTACAAGTTGCACGATAATCCATGTTTTGTTCTAGTTTATCAAGAAATCGGACACCAAGCTTTGTTGTTATGCTATATAAGTTATATCTACTAAATGCTGTGATTAAAGCATTACACATAGCCTTTGAAGTATGCTATTGCTCAAGGATAAATCTACAAGATAAGTTGTTATTTTTATAGGCTTTTGTTCTTGCAAAAATAGCTGCATCGCATGCTAAATCAACAATATTTTGCCCAAGATCTTCTAAATACATATTGATTAACTTAAATATGACTTCATTACTGTTAGGTGCTAGTTCAGGCTCTAATACAACAACATTTGGTGTGTTTACTCAACATTCTAACTCGATAGTAGTAAGTATTTTGATATTAATTTCTTCAATTCTAAAATTTTTGTTATTATACTTATTTATTAATTGTTTTATTATTTTATCAAATGTTTTATCCTATTTAGACATAAATCCTAATTGACCAAATAAATTTTCTTGAGATATCAGATTTTCTTGAGCAAGAGACGATAGGTTGAATAGAAGTTTGAATTGAAATACCATCCTTAGTGTAGCATGTACAAATTGCTATATAACATTATATATATTTCTGTACTTGAAAACTATATTCTTGAAGTCGATATTATCAATTATGGTGACGTTCTATATATTTGGGCCTTTAAGTAATCTTGTTAAAAGATTAAATTTGTTTATACATTCTTTTTCCAGTCTTGATTCATGTCACCAGGTATAAGATGTAATATATACAGAATGTAATATAGCTTGCAGAGAAGATATTAATTTAGACTTTTTATATAAAGAAGCCATAGTATAGGTAAGCCAAATTTTCCATGAACAGAATGCTATTGTCAAAATAATAGATGTGAAGAATGATGTAATCTTTTTTATAGCATCTGTATTAATTTCAGGGTTATTTTTTTCATGTTATCTATGTTTTCTTTTTCTTATTACATACATTTGTTTTTTAATAGATTCGATTAATCCATTAAAAAAGCTAGTAAGAATCAAAGGAAAACTATTATAATATTCATTTAATGAAGATGAGTTTTCTAATTTATTATGATTTTTTTCAATATCTTTACATGAATTCCAAATTGTATTTCCTAACATTTCTTCAAATCAATGACATTTTTCTACTTTTACAAGATATTTATTTGTAGAAGAAGAATTATCAAATTTATTAATTTTTATAGTAATTTTTACAAGCAATAGACTAGGTGAACAAGACTTTGTATTCATCGAGGATGACGAATATAATGATAATGATCTTGGAGTTTCTAGCAATTTTATAATATATTGTAATACTTCTTTTTTTTTACTCTTATTTGAAGAATATGAGAGTTTAAATAACCAAGATGAAAAAAGTTTTAATATATGGTTAGTGTCTTCTATATGCAATCCATTATCAACACATGTTTAAGACTTTTTGGGTCCTAAACATTTATGAATATGTCCACCATATTTTTCAAAACATTTTGTACAGATAAATCTAACATATCTGTCTTGAACAGTAAATCTTGAAGCAATATTTGGAATTCTTTGAAATACAGAGCATAATTTCAAACCAGGACATAGAACCTAAATATCTCTTTCGCATATATTCTAACAATGATCTATACAATCTTTATCTCTGCTAAAGAATCGTTTATATTCATTACAAAATAAGTATTTTTTTTTTATGAACTCCACTTTTACTATAATGCCTTAATCCTTTAGTACCAGACATGTAAAGTGGCCTGTAATTGAAGTTAAAATGATTAGAACAAACTCCCAATGTAGGTAAATTTAATGATTATTTTGTAGCCAATTCTACTTCCCATGTTCCAATTAATTGAGTTATTGATAACAGAGACATTGTTGAATTGCAGCGTCTAATTGCTCCATCCAAATTATCAATGACAATGCAAGACGAAAGATTAGTTTTTTTAGCTTCTAGAATTTTCTCATAATCCATATCATCATTGTCCTCATTCTCATCCTCAGATAATATATTTTCTTCAATATTGTTATCTTCATCATGTATTACTTGATCTTCTAATAAACTTCTTGCATTTGTTGCAGCTAGATAATCATGAGTAAACATGAATTCCTAGTTATTTGGATCAGTACTCCAACTTTCTTCTGGATTTTCGTAGTTGTAATAGTCATCCATTGGGTTGTTAATAAAAACTGTTGATATTTGTATTTTGCAAGTAGTAATTTTATTTTTTGAATAGATAAAAGGTTTAAGGCATCTTATTTATAGATTATGAGTTACTACTATTCTAAACAATTTAGAGAAGTTTTAACAAAGACATTTTAGAAATTCTTAAGGCATTTCAGAAAATGATTATATAAGGATGTTTACACAAGGTATTTTGGATGAAGTGTTTTAAATAAAGGCATTTTAGACAAGGTATTTTAGACAAGATATTTTATTTTGGACAAGGATTTTGAACAAATGTCTTAAAAAACATTTGAAAAAGCTTTATTATTTTTCTTTTATATCTTTCATTTGTTCATATTAAGCACAATTTTAATTTATCTTTTATTATGCATTCATTACAAGTTTGTAATTTTATCATGGTTTCGTCACAATTTTATCAAATTTTATCTAAATTTTATATTATTTTGTACAAAATTTTTTATTTACATGTATATATTGCAAATAATAAAGCACAACTCTAAAATTAAAAGATATTTTTCATCATTTTTTATTATTTTAAAAATAATAAATATATATTTCTAATTTTACAAAATATTTTTAACTATTCTACAAATTTTGAATAGTCATTTAAATAAGCATTTTAAGTGCGATGTATATATATAAAATTTGATTTTATAAAGCCAAAATGCATATGAATCTGCTTTTCTCTATCTTCTAAATATCTCAAATTCATTGTAAGAAACCTACAGCAATTACAAAATTAATTTTTAAATATTCCACTATTAATACCCATATTATCAACTTTTTATAAAATTCAAAAGCTTTCCTCTCACCTCTTTTGACTCTATTTTTATCTTCATAACAAAGACTAATCATTAGTATTTGATCTTTGCAGATTTTTGATAATACTTGAAAACCTTGTGATTGTTCTCTTCAACAATGGTTCCCAAAAAAGTAACAACAATTAATATTAAATATTCAAATAAATTAACAATTCAAAAAGCGAAATGGAAATAGCTAGTCAACAGATCTGAGAATGAGAATTATTCAAATACTTCAATTAATAAATAATCATTACACTTCCAAGCTAAATTAATTAAAATAAGAGGTTAAAAAGTAGCAAACAAATTAAATAAAAGACTTAATAAGAATACTATCCTTTTATAATTGTGTTTGAAACTCTGAAATTTTTCTGATTACTGTAGATAAAACCTATACAACAATAACAAAAAAAAATCTAGAAGTGCAGACCTGGTAGAGTATTTCTGAATCTCTATGTGATTTGGCTACTGTAGTTTAGAAATCCTTCATATCTTGTTATCTATCATAAAAAATCATATAAAAGATTCTCCTATACCTATGAATTAGACCTGTATATGAATCATAGAAACTCTATTAAATAAATGCAAAGGTTTTTAAAAACCTAGACTGCTTATTACAAATATAAAGTAGTATGTACTTTAGAATTTACCTTACTTCAGTATAAACACTGTATACTAGATCCTGGGTCTACTATAAGTTTTAAAATTGGTAGAAGGTAATAGATCTGGTCTTGTATATGATCTTTTATGATACTACGGATAATAAAATAATAGTGAAAAGTTTTGAAAAAAGTATTAGTTTAATAAAATGCCAGTTTGAAGTTAAAATTTGCTTTGAAGACTTAGCTAGTTAGAGATTTCTAAGTTCTTATAGAAGTAAGATTCTGAAATGTTAACAAATTTTAAGCCCAATATTATTCTTTATTTATATATAAATCAGTTTTCAAACTTATACTGTTAATAGAGTGAAACCTAAAGAATAGCATTATATTGAGTACATTTTTGATATCTTTTATGCATCACATGGTTCATTTAATAGTGAATAAAATTTTTCAAAAATTTTCATAGTAAATTGCCAAAAATTGATCTACATTTTTACTATAATCTAGCACTTACATATATGGACATGTGACATGTCCTCTGACTGCTATCTTAACTGATCAACAGAATACTGTTGTCATAATACCATCTATATATTATATAGGTGATTATCCAAATTTCGCTGTTGGTGGGTTTTGAACTCACAACCTACCACTTGGGAGTATGACAACTTATCCACTTCACTAAGTCGCCACACCCTTTTTGTTTTTAGTTTTATTTTTGTTTTTTTTATATTGCTTATGCTTTAGTACTTATTACTAATTTGTATAATAGTCTTGTTATATATTAATTTTTTTGTTTTTTATTTTAAGCAGTACTTTATTTTATTTTTTTTAATATTAAAATAAGTACTTGTAATCTAGAATTTTATTAATAATATATTTTAGCCAATAGTATATAACTCATTATTTAGTTATTGTTTAATTTAAGTAATTTATCTAAAGATTTTATACTAGTAACTATATCTAAAACCTGCCTATAGGTTTTTTATTTAAATGTTCTAGTTCTTGTATTTACTATTTATTTACTCTATTAACTGTTTAGTTAATATTAGTGCAAATGTACTATAATTACAAAATTTTTAAAGCAGTTTACTAATATAAAAAATCTTTAATTTTGTACTAAATTTACTAAAACCTTCTGTAACTTTTTTTTAAATATTAATGATAAGGTCATGCCTTTAACTTTATTAAAATTTAATTGAAGTTTTTACAAAGAAAAGCTTGCTTTTAAATTACATATGAAGAATA